ACCCTTACTAAACTAGCCATCACCCAATTGATACCCGACAGTTCGTAAGCTAAAGTCTACAAACGGAATGGACACTGCAACAGAATATGTTTGCACGATTTAGCATTACTCTTGCACAAGTAGTAGTCATTTACAAATATTCTTCCCTTCCTAAACAACTTATCCAAAGTTAAGATAGACTTTCTAGCAGCCTCCTAAGAAAAAAAAAAGCCACTCTGTTGATGCTCTTACCTTCCAAATCAGCCTTGCTGGCAACTCCATACAAGTTTCATTTCTTTAACGGAAAAAAGGTCTTAATGGAAAAAAGCCCTTTAGAGTTAAGCCTCCAAATAAGATAATCTCCGGTCCCATTTGGAGTACATTCGAATAAAACAAACAAAACAGATTCATACTCGTTGATCTCCCAGTGATTAAGATTCCTCGAAAGCTCCACAAATCACGAGCTATTCCCTCAATCCTGGAAAAGACTCCTGAATCGTGACATCTTTATGCCATGCATGAGTAAAAATCTAGGGAAACTGGGTCTTGAGTGCCCACCATCTAACTACTCATCTTCCTAGAATTTCACTTTCTCACCAAACCCAACGCTCCACTTCGTGGATTTAAGGAGTCTTCTTTCTCGATGCTTTTTATAAGACTAACATTTAATCTTATGAGAAGTAGTTTAGTTGGTAGTTATGTAGAGTATCAGGTGGGTAGACAACAGCTAGGTGTAATACTTTACCTTGGCCTCTCTCATGCTTAGGTTACCTCTTGGGGCAGGATTCCTTTTCGGAATATCGGGTTGTGTAGGGTTTCTAAACATCTTGACTGTTGGAAACGTGATTATTTTCTCTTGGAAAATGGTTACCCTTATATGGGTGTGTTTGTGTAGAATTCCCTTCAATACTATATCTTGGCATATCACATACTTGAGGTGTAGCCCTTGAGGGGAACTTCCCCTTGTCAAGTGTCCTTTTGGGATCTTATGTTATGTGGGATTTCTAGACATCTTGATTGTTGAAAGAGGGTTTCTCCGATTTAGATGTGCGAGTCCATATTCCTTTCAATTAATTCTCTCTGTTTAAGATTCCTTTGAGTGGATTATGAGAAATTTATTATGTAGAACAAAAGTGAGGATTTGAGAAATCATTTGGTTAGACAAAAAGTAGTGTTGTATTCTTACAAAAGATCGAAGAATGGGTATTGGGAACTTAATGCTCAAGAAGGTATTATTATCACCTAAGTAGTTATGGCTTCATCCACTAGAACCTTTTTATCTGCAGCACAAGGTGATCAAAAGCAAAGGCGTAATGATTCCTAAATCATCGGATGCTACCAATATGCTCTCCTTGCTAATCCGATGATTTAGGAATCATTCACTTGGTCCGAATTTGAAGAAGAGTATTAGGATAATAGGTGAAGCTCACAATCTTGCTGACTCTCTTATCAGGGTCACTCAACCTTATATTACTATCACTGTCTTAAAAACTAGATGAGCAAGTCTTGTTCTCCGGTTGTTTTCCTTTTACTTTTTCTTTTTCCTTCTTTCTCAGATAAATGATTCCATCAACAGCCTAATCTGCAACCTACTTCGAATAGAGAAGCTTTGTTAGAATGTCAGACCTTTTCATATTTACAGATAATATAACATAAACTAAGCTGATTCTAACCGTATGCATGATTGAAATATTACAGAA